AATTTCAGTACTTGGCAGTCTGAGGCAAGAGGATTGCAGTGAGTTCAAGACCAGCCTGAACTACATACTGAGATCATATCTCAAAAAACCAAACCAAAAAGCCCCCAAACTTTTTTTTTTTTTTTTTTTTTCCGGAACCGGGCATTGAACTCAGGCCCTTGTGCTTGCCAGGCAAGCGCTTATTCCACTGAGCCATCTCCCCGGCCCCTCCCCCAGCTTTTAAGAAGCTGATAACTGCCGTGAAACACACTGGAATGTATCTGGAGGTCACTTGATATTGGCACTCCTGGTGGATTTGACATTCTCCTATTTTGCTTAAGTGATTATGCACAGGCAAGAAGCACTCACTACTTCATGACAAGCTAAAAACAAGAATCTAAAAACCAAACCTGGCTACCCTACTGGGAGTTTCATAAGCATGTTCATCTATAACTTGCATAAAGAAGACAGAGCAGGAGAAGAGGTCCTCCTGCTGAATCCCCCCACCAAAGAGCAGGCAGTAAGTTCCAAGGAGCAGAAGGAAAGTTTCCTCGTAGAACTGGGAGAAAAAAGTATTCAGGCTCAGATCCCAGAGGTCGGATGGAGGTGATCGGCGTGCGCCAACCCCCCACCGTAGTCAAGTTTCCGTGCGCTTTCCAGCTCAACCTGCAACGATTTACCTAGTTCTGCTTACCTGTCACGGGAAGAAGAGCGACAACACCCACTTTCTAGTTATCAGATTGGTCCAAGGATCACCTCGCACAGAGCCTAGCGAACTGCTTCATAAGGGCGCTACAAATCCCATCACTGCCCAAGTATTTCACCTGAATTTTCAGGGGGAATAGCTAAGACGTCTTTCGCCAACACAGTGATGGGTGAAATTAGTCCCGTGGGCCACCAGGCGCAGGGTGGCAACTACAGAGCGTCCCCACCCTGCCGTCGGTCACTGGTCCCTCCGCGAGGGCCCGGGCGCTGGGGCGGCGTTGTCATAGCAACGGCCGCAGGGTCTCCCTTCCCCCAGGGTGGCTTCCCCTCGCGCCAAAGCTTAAGACCACATAAGGGAGCCCGGCCGAAGGGCCCCGAGGTGGCTAGTCTAGGCCCTGGGTGGCTTCTCGGGGTCGCACACTCCGGCCAAGCCACCACACACCGCCGTACCCGCCGCAGCCGGCACTCGTGCACATCCGGCGGCCCCGCCCTTTGACCCGGAAGTGCGCTGGAGAGGAAGCAGCTGGTGATGCGGGAGCAACATGGCGGCCCTGGTGCCCCGCGGCCCCTCGGGCTCCTGCTGTCTGCGTCTGGCCGCGGGCCTCCGTCTGCTTCCGATGCTGGGACTGCTCCCGCTGCTGGCCGAACCCGGTCTGGGCCGCTTCCACCACCTGGCACTCAAAGTAAGGCCGGGCAGGGCCGGGCCGGGCCGGGAGCGGAGGCCGAGGCCACTCCTCTCCGGGACTCGGGGCACCTTCGGCCACACCGGGCCTCCGAGTGCCGCGGCGCCCCCTGGTGCTTTCCGGCTGCGACCCTGTCGGTAGGGGGTCGGCAGGGTGATCGCGAGCCGCTGGGCCTCGGGCTGTGTGGTGGGGCGGAACCCTGGGACTGACGGTGGGGCGGGGGCTGCGCGGCCGCCGGAGGGCGCGGCCGCTCGCCCGTGGGCCCTGCCGGCCTCCATAGGCCGCTCTGCCCGCCCGGCTCTTTCGACTTCGTCCCGGCTCTCGGCGGTCTGCGCTCTGGCGTGCCTTGTACGCGGCGGCTGGAAGCGTTGCTGAACCGTAGCCTGTTTCCCGGCTCACTCAGGGCTCCCGCTTTAGAATTTCCAGGAGAAACCAGATCTTGTCTGAAGTGTGACTCTTAAAACAGCAAGTAAGAGATTTGGGGTAGGCTTAGTGTCTTGCTTTATACCGCAGTTCACGGTTAAAAGTCCTTGAAGACTTAATACTTAAGTATCGTCAGGTGATTCAGCGGGTTGGCTTATCTGGGGAATAGGAAAGTGTGCATGCTTGGGGCTCAGAGTCCTGTACGTAGCCTTCGTGGTGCACAGTACCCTAGCAAGTTTGTGGGCTTGTACAAAGCTTGGTAAAGACACACTCCATTAGCCACGATACATTGATTTTTGTAGACTATTTTGCAGATTTAAATTTAAAAACCTGACCAGATACATACAACCATACTTTGGGTATCAGCTTTTGTTCTTTTTTTTTTTTTTTTGCTCCGAATGCCTGGGTTTGGCTGGCTTGAGTTGTGGGGATCGAACCCCAGCAACCTGAGCCTGACTGCTTTGTTGTAGCAGCCACTTAAAAGAGCTGAGCTAAGGGGCAGGCCCTCTCAGCTTTTGTTCTTTACAAAACAAAAATTATTCTGATGAAAGTGATTCTTAACCACAGGATAATAGGTGAATTTTATTTCCTTTGATAATCTGTTAAAAGCTGTAGAACTGCTTCCTAGGCAAGTATACATTGAAATCTAGACAGAACAAGCGCCGGCTAGATAGCACAGCGGGCTAAAGCACCTGCTTCGACAGAGCGGCGGGGGATTGTGCCTGTAATCACATCACTTGGGAGGCTGAAAACAGAATCACTACGTGTCTGATCTCCATAGTGAGTCCCTGTTCACCCTATAGACCTTGTCCTGAATTCATAACAACAGCAACAAAAATCTGGACAGAACATTCTTGGGACCGAGGAGATAGCTCAGTGGCTGCCTGTCAAGTGCAAGGTCCTGAGTTTGATCTCTGGTACTGCAAAAAAAAAAAAAAAAAAAAAGAAAATCCAAAAAACAAAAATCCAGGAACATTCTTAGGCCTTATAAACCCAGCGAAGTTATCTAATGCGTTCCCGCTCTCATGTTAACTTTTTCATTTTTCTTTTTGCGGAACCAGGGATTGAACTCAGGCCCTTGCGCTTGCCAGGCAAGCACTTATTCTACTGAGCCATTGAGAAGCCCCACACTCCTCTGGGGCTCCGGCCCAGAGGAGTTTTATGTTATGTTATGTTTTAGAATTTTTATGTTAACTCTAAAAACCAGGGGTGGTAGTTTATGCCTATAGTCTCAGCTAACTGAGAGGCTGAGGCAGGAGGATCTTTGAAAGTTTTAGGCCAGCCTGGGCTACAGGGGCCAGGGAGATAGCTCAGTGGCATAAGGTCCTGCCTAGCAAACACGAGGTGGGGTGGGCGAGTCTCCTTCCAACATGGGCTACAAAGTGAGCTCAAGGCCAGCCTGCACTGCATTATGAGAGAAGACAAAAATAAATAAATTTTTTATTTTTATTTATTTTGCAGTGTTGGGGATTGAACTCAGGACCCTGCGTTTGCCAGGCAAGCACTTATTCTACTGAGCTATCTCCCTGGTCCCCAAATAAATTATTTAAAAAGTAAGATAAAATTATGCCCTTACATATTTTATGATCTTGAGTCTAATGAGCTGAACTCATACAGCCTATAAATGAGACAAAGCTGTCAGTGGGACACACTAGAACTGTGCCTCCCAACTGAGTCCAAGTAATCTTTCTACATTTCTAGAATTAAAATAGCATGTCTTAAAAAAAAATAACATGTCTAGCATTATTAGATGCCCTTTGATGTCTGCAGGCAGAAAATTTTACTGACCTTAGTGATAGAAGAGAACTGAATTTGTGTAATTCTAGTGTTTGATTGCTGCCTGTTGTGATAAATTACTTAATCGCTTTATCTAGGTGGCACGTTTCTTTTTTCATTTTGTTTTGTCTTTTGTCTTTTTGAGAGGGTCTTGCTATGCAGCTCACGCTGGCCTTGAGCTCACTTTATAGCCCAGGCTGGTCTGGAACTCACCGTGATCCTCTGCTTCAGCCTCCCCAGCGCTAGGATTACGGGCAGCGGACACCATGCCCTGCGGTAACATGACTTATGAGTATCATTGTACTCATTCTGTAAGCAGTACTGGAATTGTTTTCTAGTAAATGTTCTAATGTCTTGTCCAAGGAAGTGGAAGTCACTGGGAGAGTGCTTGTTGGAAAAGCATTAGATTGTTTTGTTTGAGATTGAAATAGACTCCATCAGGTTAGAGACACAAACTGAACAGGTGAGTATCCAGAATATTCAGTGATCGTTAAAAAAAATAATAACCTTGGAGCTAGCCAAATAGTTCAGAAGATTAAAGCGCCTGCTTAGGCAAACGGGGTGAGGGGGTGGGAGGGGTGTGCCCGGCTAGGCCCTGCCTCCAGGGCACGGTGAGATGGCAGTTGAGACTGGGTGTGGTGGCACAGGCCTGTAGTGCCAGCTCTTGGGAGGCTGAAAACAGGAGGATCACTGAGTCCAGTCTGTGTAGTGAGACCCTGTAAAGCCTGCACTAATTACAAAAAAAAAATTGCCATGGAGAGTTTGAAGTATATCGTAGCAGGCAGAAGTGTCATCAGACCTCTCTAGCCATCACCCAGGGGCTAATTCTGCTCCATCTCTACATACATTCCTTGTTGCCACTTTTTGCTTTTTTAATTAGAAAGGAGTCCCTTCATTTTAATTAACTTTTATTACATTCTCTTGGGTTTTTTTTTTTTTTTCCCAAATTTTTCATGTTCCTTCTCTTTTGATCTTTCTGTGTTTTTTGCTTTTTGTTAATTTAAAAAATAAATGTTATTTATTTATTTATTGGATACAGGCTCTTGCTACACAGCTCTCGGACTGCAGTAATCCTCCTGTCTCAGCCTCCCCAGGGCTGGGTCTCGGGCCAGCCTGGCACACAGTGCAGGGAACTGAACTTGGGTCCTGGTTTTTTTTGCGGAACTGGGGATTGAAAACTCAGACTCTTGCGCTTGCCAGGCAAGTGTGTATTTTACTGAGCCATCTCCCTGCCCCCCCGTTTTGTTTTTTGAGACAGGGTCTTGCTATGTAGTTTGTTTGTTTATTTATTTATTTTCTGTATTTTAGGGATGGGTCTAGACGTGTTCAGGGTCTCACTACTAGATCGGACTTGTGATTCTCCTGTTTACAGCCTCCCAAGTTCTGGGATTATAGGCGTGCACCACCACACTGTCTCAGTCACTGTCTCAGTGTGCTCCAGGGGCAGCTCCACAGCAAGCCCAGGGATTGAACCCACAACCCCTGTGCCTGCGTGCAGACACTTTAATCCGCTGAGCTGTTTGACCGGCCCTTGATATGTAGTTTATTTAAAAACTTATTTACTTATGTATTTATGATAGATTTTGGGTTTTTTCTTTGCCTCTTTTTTTTTTTTTCATGGTACCAGGAATCGAGCTCAGGACCTTGCATTTGCCAGGCGAGCACTTATTCCACTGAGCTATCTCCTTGGTCCCTTTTTGCCTTTTTCGAAGAGGGTTTCACTTGAACTCACTCTTTAGCCTAGGGTGGCCTTGAGCTCACAACAGTCCTCCAGAGTCAGCCTCCCAAGTGTTAGGATTAGAGGTGTACACCACCGTGCCAGGCTGCTATATGGTTTACTGTTTTCTTTTTTGATACCAGGAATCCACCTTGGGGCTTTGCGCCTGTCGGGAGGTGCTGTGCTGCTGAACCACATCCCTGGCCCTGCTATATAGTTTAGACTGACCTTGAACATACCGTGTAGCCCTAGCTGGTCTTTTTTTTTTTTTTTTTTAATCAATTTTATTGATACATTGTAGGTATACATAACAATGAGATTGATCATAGGGAATTTGTGCCTTACGTTATATATCTTTTCGAAGTCAGGGCCTTGTGCTTGCCTGGCAGACGCTTAAGCTACATTATGTATCTTTTTTTTTTTTGGTGGAACTGGGGATTGAACTCAGGCCCTTGCGCTTGCCAGGGAAGCGCTTATCCTACTGAGCCATCTCCATGGCCCTACATTATGTATCTTGATTCTTCTTTTTACCTCCATCTCCTCCCCTCCTTTCAGCCCTTCTTGCCCTATTTACAAAAGCTTTGTTTCCATTTTATTCCTTCAGTCCCCCCATTCCCCTTCCCATTTGAATATTTTCTTCCTGTCTCCCAGTATCTGTTCCACTTTTTGGTCCTTATTTACACTTTCTCTTTCTCACACCAGAGAAACCACACAGTATTTGTGTACGTGTGTCCAGTTTATTGCACTTCAGAGTGTGGTCTCCCAAGTGCATGTATTTACCTAGAAATGTTTTCAGCTTGTTCTTTATGACAGAGTAGTATTCCATTACATATAAAACCCCCACATCTTTATCCATTTGCCAGTTAATGGGCATTTGGACTGTCCCCAGGATGTGCCTGTTACTAGCTGTGTAAGCATGGGGTACATCTCCTGCCGTGGTACGGTGCTTTTGATTCTTTCAGGAAGACACCAGGGGAGATAGCTGGGTCACATGGAACCTCTAGTTTTAGTCTTCTGAGAAATCTCCACACTGATTTCCACAGCGGTTGCACCAGTCTACCCTCCTACCAAAAGTGGAAAAGAG